CTATTAAAGGCACTGTTTTGCATGAGATGTTGAACATCAAAGTGAGATGTAAACCGACTTGTAATGTACTATGTAGTATGATCTTTACCATCTGGCAAAAGTAAAAGTAAACTTTAGCTCACCCCCCCCCCCTCATTCGGATTTTTTAAATTAAAAAAAAAGTGTTTTAGGGTGGTGGCAATTTCATAAGGTCATACATGAGCGTGCAGGACACATTAGGTATTTTCAGTTCTGTAGGAATTAATTTTGAAATTTGCTGGGTGGTGAACGAAACCTACTTTTTCGATTTTTGGACCACCAAAGGATCTTTAACGTGTGCAGTTTGCACTCAAGACCACCGAGAAGGCTAGGTATTGGATAATTGATTAATACCTATCCTTAGATCAGGGGTGTGGCTGAAAGACCATTTTTCGCCCATTTACGAGAAGACTAGGTGTTAGAACTTACCTACCATAAGATCTGGGGTGTGACTGAAAGACACCAATAAGTAGGAACCAAGGAGAAACAATTGAAAGGCAGCAGAAAGAGTCAGTAGCCCCGAGGAGGGGGCAAAGGGGACGGGGAGGGGGCAGAAAGTGGAGACGACTGAACATGGTTAGAGGGCAAGAACAGAGCTAAAAGGAGAACATTTCAGAGAGAAAAAGTTTCCGTTGCTATCAGGTTTCGAACCCGGAACCTATTGAATGAGAAGCGAACACCGTACCCCTAGACCACACCCCACCCCCTCATTCGGACCTTACTTGTACTTCACCAAAAGTTGTTACTGTGACGTCACAAAGCAGGACGCGAATGACCGTATTATTATACATTTATGTATTAATTTTTGGTACTTATTTTTCTGTTAGATCTACAGTACATTGTGTGCATCAGCAAAATCGCGTACATATCATGTATTATTAATTTTGATGGTTCGGGAACTTTTTCGCTTCTCGTTTTAAATTCATCACCTCCCTTGTACTTTGTATTGTAAGCATGTGAATCAAAGCTTGTGAATGTGATGTACATTTTTGGAGGTTCTGTATTTGGTGCAAATATGTATTACGATGTCCCGTGTCAGCTATGACTATCTTTGATAATAGGGAAACACAGGACACAGAGTAATGGATTGGTCTTGGAAGGGGGGGGGGGGCATAATGTGTGTTTGTATATGTGTGTGTTTTCGTGTGTCTGTGTGTATG